GGTTGATACTTTTAAATTGCTTATAGCAAGTAGCTTTATCAGAAGTATTTAGATCCCATTGGTAATGACTACTTCTCAGAGATGTCTTCCAGGTATAGCTGGCTTTTGTAATTTGAATTTGTTAGAAGATGCTATTCTCTTCAATTTATTGAGGATGCAAAGTTTCTGCCCACTTGGTTCTCTGAAAGTGTCCTATAGTATTTTTTAAGATCCTTGGATAATCTCAGTCTTGTTATACCAGGAAGGACAACTGCTTAGCACAATTATGTCACCTTGCCTAAAGCAGTACAATCAGCAATAACAATAGCATGAAACACAGCCTAGAAAATGACAAACTGTGGCAACTGCTAATTTTCCACCTTTAACCATATGAACTAGGTCTGTGGTTATATAACAAACTCTAAAACCAGAAAATTGAATGCATGAAATAAGCACTTAAAGGGCCAGGGGTTTGTCTCAGTGGTTCTGTTGCCTGCCTCACAAGCACAACAGCCTGAGTTCAATTCCTGATACAGGAAAAAAAACAAAAAAAAATTTAAAAAGAAATAAGCCCTTAATATGGAATTTTACCCTTTGGAGAGAAGATTTAATAGGGATGGGGGGCAGAGAAACAGAAAAGAGGAAGAGATTAGAAGTAAGGTTGGAGGACAAAGGAAGATCACACAAACTTTGGGAAACTGGTGAAGAGAGGACAGGAGGGAAAGAGAGAAGGAAGAAATAAAAATAACAACAGAACAACAAAAAACCCCCAAAACTGTGTTCACACTCATATTAAAACAAGAACAAATAATCACGATACAATAAATTTTTAAAAACCCCAAAACTAGAAAAGAGTCAAATGAAAAACTATGTACAGTTCAAGGTGTGTCTCTGCTGTCACTGGTAGACAGTGTGGGGAGACAAAGTCCAGATCTGAGTTGATTAATCCCAGCAAGCCAACTGTAGCTTTATAGTGGGGTAGTAATTAATGTTAGCAAGCCTGAACAATTATTTCCACTGAAGTTTAGTCTGGTTTTTGGTTGTGAGGCTAGAACCATATTTGTTGAGCCTGAAATGGTCTGTGTGCCTCCTCCAACTTGAACTCCACAGCCTCCATGACAGCAGGAGCCACTAGCTGGAGTTGGCCTGTAGCTTTTCTGAGTTCTAAGCTCAGGCCCCTCTCCAAGAAGGCTACCTACCAGTCAGTCACCCTCTCCTGGGGGATGTCCAAACCCAAATAACTCACCAGCCGCTGCAGTTTGCTTCATCGACTGCTCTATTGGGCCATCACTGTGCATCCTCAGGTTTGAACTGCCCTGCCAGCTCAGCAAGTCCAGGCTCACAGAGAAAGTGCCACTGCCTGCCACCTCCCTCTTCTTCACTGAAGTCTCTTTGCTCTCCCCATGGGAGAGCAATTCTCAGATCCTTCCTGAGTCCCGGGGACCCTCTTCCTATTCTTCTCCTCCTCATGCCACTATATTCTAGTGTTAGGATGCCAAATCTTGGAGAGGCTCTTTCTAGGCTACTAACTACTCTGCCACCTTCCTGGAAGTCCTCCATTGTGACTTTGATGTTAAGGTCTTGCCTTCTTTAGATATGCCTCCACCCACAATTTTGATGTGTTTTCATCTTCTGCAGGGACTCCACTGAAGGTACAGCCGTGTCTGACTACCTATTAATTTCTATCTAACTTAGCTGCCTATAATAGAGACAGGGACTCACTAAATCACTAAGTTACTCAGGCTGGGCTTCACTATGTAATCCTTCTGCCTCAGCTTCCCAAGGTGCTAGGATTACAGATATATATCATCATGCCCAGTTTTATGGCCTAATGATTTTTGACAAGAGTGCCAAGATGACACTATGAAGAAATTAATGCCACCTAAATAGTGTCTGGAAAATCAGATATCCAAACACCTTATATCATGTACAAAAAATTAACTCAAAATGGATTAATGACCTAAAAATATGGCTTAAAATTGTAAAACTGGATTAAATCATATTATTCTGCTATAAAGAAAGATAGTCTTGAGTCATTTGTAGAAAATAGATGCAACTTGAGACCAAGATGCTAACTGAAAAAATCAGACACACAAGCTTAGATATTTCATGGTTTCTCTTATATGAGAAACCCAAAGTATACATAAAAAGCAAAATAAAACATAGATAATAGGAAGTAGGGATGTAGATCCTTCTCAAAGGGGAAGGAGATCAAGAGATTGAAGTAGGAAGGAAGGAGTGGGGGGACAGGATGAAAAATGAAAGTAAGATGTTCCAACTCCAAGTAAGGAATGTAAACATTATGTACTGCAAACATGTACAAAAAAAGAAAGGAAGAGGATCAAGAGATAAGTAGAATGGGAAGTAGGGAAGAGAAAGAGAACGAAAAAAGGAATTAAGATGTGTTATGTATGTGTGCTAGTTTCCCACAAGGAAAGTAAACATTATATATTACAACATGTACTCATAAATCAAAAAGAAAAAAAAACTAGAAGAAGTCATAAGGGGAAAGCTTCATGTCACCTAGCAAAGAATTCTTAGATTAACACCAAAGCACAGGCAACATGAGAAATGCAGCTACATCAAACTTACTTCTGCACATCGAAGAAAACAAGAGGGAAAAGTCAACCCTGTAGGGAGGCTTGTAACTTGTAATTATAAAATATGCAGTGAGAGAAAATAATCGCATGACATAAATCTGCTAAATTATACATCTGGAAAATGTCCAAAATATATAAAGAACTCCTACAATTCAATAATAAAGGAAGTAACCCAATCTAAAATGGGCAAAGAATCTGAATACAGTGCTTTTCCAAAGAAGATAGATGAATGGCCAACAAATATAAGAAAAGAACGCAACATCACCAATCACCAAGGAATAAAGAAAGGAAAACAAAAAGTGTTAGCAGTGATGCAGAAAAATAAGGACCCTGTGTGTTGCTGATGGGAATGTAAATAGCTTGACCACTATGAAAAATAGAGGTTTCTCAAAAGACTAAGGACAGAATGACATATGTTTCAGGAATCTCATCTATGAGTATACATCCAAAAGCTATGAAAAGAGAATTAGTGTTATCATTTTCAGTGCTGGCAACTGAGCCCTGGGGCCTTGCACATAGTAAGCAAGTATTCTACCTCTGAACTACACTGCCAGCCCTTAAAAGGGAATCTTGACGGGTTATTTGCACACCGATATTAACTGCAGCATTATTCACAACTAAAAGGTGCCGGCAGCTCAGATGTCTATTGATAGATGAATGGATAAAGAAAATGTGATAATCCATACAACCGAAAATTATTATGCAGTCTTAGAAAAAAAAAGAGGGGGGAACAGCTGGAGATGTAGTCAAGCTGTAGTTTCAGAAGGTGGCGGCACAAGGATTACTTGAGCCCAGGACTTCAAAGCCAGCCTGGGAGACATAGCAAGACCCTATCTGGGGCTGGTGGTATAGCTCAGAGTTAGAGCTCCTATCTGGCAAACATAAAGCCCTACGTTGGATTCCTAAGCACCAGCAAAAAAAAAAAAAAAGAAGAAGAAAAAGACATTTTCACTCATCACTGGTTTATACTGCTAGAGAAAACAGAAGTGTGTGTATGTGTGTGTGTGTGTGCGTCTGTTTAGTAGATTTAGAATTGTGCCAGAACCAACTGGTGAATCATAAACTTTCTGTTCTGTTTTTTACCTGATGACTGGCTCAAACAAGTTTGATCTTAGACCAGTTTAGATCAAGTGAAATTCTTCCCATATGCTAAGCATAGTACAAACTTGACACATCTGTTTCAGAAATAACCAATGAGAGTGACTTTGAGCATTCTGTAAGTGGAGGAAAAAAAAAACACTGCAAAAATTACAACCGGGGTGAATGCTGCTGGTACGTTTTATAATCATGGTGGGGAGAGAAAGAAAGAATGAAAACAAAAGGCTGAAGGTTCTGCGGTTGTGCACTGATTAATCAGAAAGTAATGAAAGAAATTTCCTTTCTCATTATGAACTGTTTGTGATAACTTGCTAGTTGTGAGAGCATTTTACAGCAATTTTTAGCGGTTCCTAAATATTAAACTCATAAAAGTACAAAGCTGACATACACTGTGTGGGTTTTTTCTTTTTTCCTTTCCCCCCCCCCAGTATAGAGGATGTAACCTAGGATCTTGGTGATGCTAAGCAAACTCTACCCTAGCCAAAAGTTGATATTTTTAAAGCTCTACAGCAGTCGTCTCCAGTGTCTCATCCATTAAACATGGGCCCCTAGGGTCACAGAGCTTTACTGTGTACTGTCTGAAACAATAAATTATAGGCGCTCTTCCCAATAAGCTAAGAAATGAACTTCCACTTAACCACCATGCCAATGTATATACCAGGTCACACAAGCAACCTCCAAGAAGACATTTATTAGATTGCAGAATCCCCAAACCCGAAAAAAGGCAAAAATCTGCCAATTATTGGTCTTCGACGGCTCATCCTTTCAGAGGTACCTGACCTGGATCCCCGGGTTCTCTGTCACAACTTCCCAAGTAACTAAAGGGCACCAACAGCTCCAGCTCTTTATCCCTGCCTTCGCTTCACCCCTTTCCACTGCAAACTGCCTCTACTTAACTGACTAAATTACCCGGGAATCAACAGATTTCCTTGGCAGCCAGCCCTAGTCTTTCGCTGCTGCCTCCTATGACCTCTAGTTATTCTTCTCCTGGGTTTGATAAGAATTTGTTCTTTCCAGGGAGGGGTACATGAAAAACTCGATGCATTTAGTACTATGATATAATTTTAAGCACTTGTGTTCCAGGTCAAACTACTAAGCGCTGAATGCGGATTGGTTCGTGCACTGCTCAAATCAAACTCCGGGAAGCGTGTACTAGTGCCACCTCGCGTCTCAGGTGAGGACAATGAGCCACAGGCCGCTCAGCATTTGCGGGGTCCCAGACCTAATCCACCAAGAGACCTGCTTCGGTTCAGGTGGTCCGAGCCCCAGCCGCCTGAGTGCCTGCGCCTACTCGCAGGCCCCACCCAGGGAAATATTTCTTACCCGGCCACAGAGCACAGCGAGCGCCCGGGGAATTTGGAGCTACGCTGCCGCAGGCTACACGTGGCTTCAGAAGACACGTGACCGCGTGGGGCGGGGCAAGGGGCGGGCCTGCCCCAGGCCAGGCCCCGCCCACGGCAGTTTATAGCTGGGGGGGCGGTGCGGGCTCCCGCTTAGGAGAACGGCGGAGGTGTCGGGTACGCTTCTTTACTGCCAGGGTTATGGCCACGGTGCGGGAGAAGGCAGCCGGACTGAACCTCTCGGCTCTGCAAGTCCCCTCGCCGAAGCCTCCAGGTAGGTGTCGCGGACCTTCGCGGGCGGTAGCGGGGCGAGCTGGGTCCCCGTGCCGCGTGACGGAACCCAGCTGGGCACTCAGGTAGGTGTCGCGGACCTTCGCGGGCGGTAGCGGGGCGAGCTGGGTCCCCGTGCCGCGTGACGGAACCCGCAGCTGGGCAATTCGGGCGCAGCTGTGGCCCCTCGTACGGTCCGGTACCTGCCGTGCGGGCTCGCGCTCCTCTCCAGCTCTAGGGCTTGGGCCACGGACCCCGACACAGCCCAGCCGAACTTTTAACTTCGCGGGTGTTGGTCTGTGTGCCCGCGGCGTGCCAGGCGCTTGCCAGTGGGTCTCGGGACAAGCTCCACGTCATGACGGGTGACAAGCGTGATCTGTGGAATTTGGACAGCTCTTTGCCCCCTGTCGTGGCTACATGACGGGGTCGAGTGCCGCTTTGGGCCACTTTATTCTCCAGGTTGGTAGGAATCAGAGGCTCACTCGCTCTTCTCCCCAGTGTCCTCCGGGAGAGATGAGAGGTTGCTGTTAAATAAGTTATCTTGGCAGGAACTTGGCCTAAGAGGTATTAATTAACACTTTGTGTATCAGAAGTAGTTCATTGAATCAGGTTTGACCTTAAAAAAAAAAAAAATGTCAAGAGGAGATAAGACGGTGAATTCTGCCACCAGTTTAACCATATCTTTTGGGGGCGGTTGGTTTAGGATCTTGATTTCCTCAAATGTTCAAAGAAGTGAACACAATCAGACAAGCAGCCCTAAAATTCTGACCTTTAATCTGTCTACAGTTTAGTAAAAGAGTGACTCAGGTGACTAGTAAAATACTCAGATTACCCCTTGACTTTTTGTTTGAATAAGTTACAACTCTTTCCCCCTTTCTGGAACTGCAAAGTGAGTGTAGCCAGAATGGATTCCCTATCTGACAAAGACTTTGCATTTGTAAAATGCCAATCACTGAAATGGTGGTGACCCTTTACTCTAGATCAAATGGAAGATCACAGTTGTCCCACTTTTGTGTTTGCCTTACTAATTACTGCTCCTTTTAATTTCACAATGCTAATGATACAGTGTGTTAGAGAACCGCTTTTTCTTTGTGTTTTTCCAAAGCAGGTTATAATATTGACCATAATGGTTATATTCAGACTATTTCCTTGACTTACATTGTGAACAGAAGGGAAGTACTTAAAGATTTTGGAATTTAAAACCTAATGATATTGGGGGAATGGGATAAAATAAAATAAAATTTATTAAATTAAAAACCTGATGAGGGTGAAGGGAGGGCAGGGACAAGGGGAAAAAAATGAGAACCAAGTCCTGTCATGTAAAGGTACAAGATCCCACTAGTGAATGTAACTGTGCTGTATACCTAGAATGTACCAATAAACTCAATAAAAAGAAAAAAAACCCTAATGATATTGAAAATAGTCATGAAGTCTTTAGGCTCTTTGTGAGGGAAATTTCCAAATTTCTTCTGATTAAAAATACTGCACCCTGTCTTCTCTGACAGCTGAAATAATTCTGGGCTTTGGACATTTGTGGGCAGGTTTTTAGATGATGTGAAGGTATATGTAGTCAAAAGCTAAGCATATAATTGTCAGAGGGAAGGGTTGAGATGCTGGCTAGCAGATTTGAATCGTTAGGAAAAGACTACAGTTCTGGACACCAGGTGCCACTGCCTGTTCTCATTGGGCTCGCTTGTTGCAGCTGGAATCGCTGCCTGTTAGCCTGGGTTAACTCCTCTCCCACCCTGGAGCTGCCTTGTCACAGTCCTAGCTAGCAAGGTAATGGGAACCAAGCTTCCAGGCCATTCCCTTTCCATGTGTTCTGGCAAGCGGCTGTGTACTTTTCCTTTCAAACCATACACTAGCTACACCACCACGGGACCTGGTTTATGTAGAAATAAGGTTTGTATGTTACCCTTCAGCCAGTACTTAAAAGATACTGTCTTTTAATGCAGGAAGACAAGAAAGTGGTATGTTCTCGTGCTATCCCTGTGCACTGTAACCTAATTCTTTGGATTTGCCTGGTGTCACTTTCCAAGGGAGCTCAAAGTACTTCCCATATGCTAGCATTCATCTGTGTGAATTAAAGCAGGGACCAGTGGCCTGCCTTTGCAGATACTTCTGTTTGCATATTTTGACATTGGTTTTGTTGGTGGAGGCTTTATTTTGTATATTTTACCTGCCTGCAGCCTTCTTTGTAGAGACAGACTCCAGCCTTCAGCATATCCCTAATGCCAAAGAGGAGGAAAATAAACTCTGGACTATCTGAATCAGTACCCAGTAAAAGCGTTCCAGTCTTGGTATTGATGTTACAGGAGTTTTTTTCCACTCAGTCACAGCTGCCTGGTTTAAATACCCTCAACACAATTCTTGTTATATTTATCTATTTTTATAAGGTTTGGGTTACTTTCCAGTAAATATAGTCATTTTCCTTTTTCACAATTCTGTGAGTAGTGTATTAAAAGCTTCTTTTGCTAAAATATTCCTTAAATAAAATTCTTTAACTATTAAATGATTTTAGGACTTACAGATTTCTTTTATGATGGAAAGTTAAATCCTCTGGTATGTGTCACATCGTGTCTTCTCATCTTCTGGTGATCTTTAGTTGATTAAAATCCTTTCAGAGCTTGACATCCAGATGGAAGGGCTGAGAAGAGGGTAAGCGCATTGAGTGTAGGAACTGTATACTCTGAATTTGGAGAAGGGGAGACAATGAAAGGCACTTTTCTTTTACCCTTTTTTGTTTTGTTTTGTTTGAGACAGGGTCTTGCTATGTAGTTCAAACTGGCCCTGAACTTGAGGCAATCCTCCTGTCTCAGCCCCTTGGAGTGTTGGGATTACAGACATGTGCCACTGCACCCAGCTTCTTTTAACTTTTTCAAATACCCTTAACATTTTGTAGTAGATTTACAGAGTCATGAAGTTAGTGTATAGAATTCCCATATGCCCTACATTTAATTTCTTATGCTACTTTACATGCAAATGATCCATTTGCCAAATTAATGAACCAATATGTTACATGATTATTAACTAAAAGACCCACACTTCCCCGGATATCCTTAGTTTTTGCCCATTGTCCTTTTTTCTCTTCAAGGATTCCCATCCAGGATATTACATTTCATTGAGTCATCCTGCCAGTGACAGTTTTCCCCATCTGTTCATTGCTGGACATGGTATTAGCCACACTAACTATGTTGTGTTATGATCCTCACAATAGCTGAGAGAAGTAGAGTTACTGCTGCCTTGCAACAGGAGAGTTAGGCAGTTTGCCCAGTTACTAAAAGGTGGTGGACCCAAGAATGGAACACAGGCCTGTGGGATGCTAGAGTCTATGCAGATCTGACTGTTCACAGCGCCTGGCACTGGAACTGCTTTGTTAGCACCAGTTTCCACGCCTCGGCAGTGTTTGGTCAACCTGAGGTTTCCTAGCCTGGGTGCTACTAACTGGGCCTGGGTCTGTCCAGGCATCCTCAGAGGTTCAGCAGCATGCCAGACCTCTACCCACTTCTCTTCTCTTCCCAGGTGAAAACCTAGTGTCTCCAGACATGTCCTGCAGAGGGAAATGCCCCACTGAGAGCCACTGGGCTTAAACCCTTCTTTAAGATTGTTTTCTTAGTAATTAGCAACCTACAATTAATAAACCTTCATTAACCAACTGTTTTATGTTGAAACAGTCTATAAAGCAGTTAAATAATTTGAACTCTATAAACCATATGAAAATTTGAAAGAAATCAGGAATTACTGCATTAAGCTTAAAGTTTTATGAGAAAAATATTATTGTCTAAATTACTTTTTGGGGGGTCCAATCGGAAGCCTGACAATGAAAACAAATTTCATATATTCATTTAGAGATAGCAGGTTTTAGCAGTTCTGTGTGCATATTTACATTGGAATGGAATCCAGTTTTATATGCATTGATCTCCTAAGGATTTAATGTAATCTCACTATTTGAAGTGATTATAGAATTGTTTTACCCATAAATAGGTTTTCACAGTAAGGCAGGAACTCCCTTGTAATATTTTAGTAAATTTTATGATATGTCTACTTTGATTTGATTTCAAAGGAATTATTAGTAACAACTTGATTATTTGGTGTGCATCCTTAGAAATGATGATGACTAGTACTATTTTAATTATATGTCCATATTCAATTTAATTTCCTTAATGTTGGTAAATTAAATTTTTGGATAGAGTTCACATATGGGTGAAGGGTAGGTCTTGCTTTTGTGAAGTAGCTATTGCTTCAGGCAATTAGGATGAGACCACTATAAAAATTAATGCTAACTAACTGAGATTTAATTTAGTGCTTACAAGTATGTATAAAGTTGGAGATCAAGTATAAAATAATTTCAGAATCTGGGCATAGTGGTGCATGCTTATAAGCCCAGCATTTGGGAGGCTGAGGCAGGAAGATTGCTGTGAGTTCAAAGTCAGCCTGAACTATATGCAAGAGAAACCCTGTCTCAAACAACAAATTTTTTTCAAAGCCCCTTGTTAGACTGACCACTTTCCAAGTTTTGTATCTGATAAAGTCATATTTGTCCCTATGTTTTGTTTCTTACCTGTAGATCTTTCATATTCTGTCTAGTTATTCAGTGTTCTTACCTAAATGCATAAGGCACATGTTCAGTCTTTACCTTCCTAGGAGTAACCGTTAATATCTGAAACCAACCTTAAACCTAGTGTTCAACTGTTGTATCAGTAGGTGAAGAAACCAACCTACAGAGGTTAAATTTCTTACAGAGGGTAATAAGTGCTGGTTTCTAGACTCTTAGATTCCTTTGGTCATAATGCTTTTAGAAAACACTGGACCAAATGTAAACTGAAAACCTCAGGATGGAGAGAGTGGTGAATTTTAATGAGTTGTCATATGTAAGTGAGGGTTGAGGACAAGGAATTGCAGCTTTAATTCTGAGTGCTATACTTACAAAGCATTCATTGTGTACTTCCGGTCTCTTGAATCACAATAAGCCATCTTACTGGGCCATGGTCTGCTACACTAATATTCATTTCAGCTCTTAGATGATGATAAATGCATATTTCAAGCCAGCATGTGGGGGCTTTGTGTTCAACTGGTGAAATCAGCATTTTAAAAACCAGGTTATCCTCTTGTGGTTTTGGCACATCCACATGTCAAGTCCTGGGTACATTATGGATTAAAGTATCTGCATGAACACGAGCTAGTTTGGGTCTGTGGGTGGTGGTGCTTGAAGGGAAATATCCCAGGATGCAATGGCTGGAAATTAATGGTCAGTGAGAACAGCAGGGGCCTGAGAGAGCTGAATCGTATCAGCCTGGAAGGTTCTGGAAACATGTGGCTCACAGGTGCCTAGTATCCTGCTCTAACCTGTTTTTTAATCTTTTATACAGTGTTATCCAACCTGCAAAACTTCCTGATTTCCCACATATAACAGCAAGCCAGTATGGGGAAAGTTGTTCTTCACTTCTTAACTCTCCTTTTAAGATTAGCAGTGTTTTCCACCTCACTGGGTTTATATATCCCCTTCCCTCAATTGTTTTTACTATTCTCAAATTAATAAGTGACTCTCCCTTGTTTGGGGGTTTATGTACTACCCTAATTGTAGCTCGGGTGTTATGACTGTGTTTCACTTTTAATATTATCACTAGCCCAGTCGGACATGGTGGCATGCTGCTGTAGTCCCAGCTACTTGGGTAGAAGAGCAAGAGTGTCGCGTGAACCCTGGAATTCGGGCCCCCCTCCCCCGGGTAACACAGCAACACCTCCCACCATTTCTTTAAAAAAAAAAGGCAAAAGACAAAAACAAACCCAGTAGGCAAAAAGTCTGTTTGGCTGGTATCTACAGGGCAATCTAATCTCTCCAAGTCTGAGTCTTGCTTGGCTTCCTTTCCTGTTAGCTCTATGTACTGTGGATAGTATTTATTATAGAATTCATGCTATCTTTGTTTTTTTTTTTGTTTTTTTGTTTTTTTTTTTTGGTACCAGGGATGGAACTCAGGTCCCTGTGCTTGCAAGGCAGGCGACAGAACCACTGAGCTAAATCCCTGGCCCCTGATATCTATTTTTTGAGTAGTAGTGATTTTTTAACTACCGTGGTTAAAGATTTCCAAATCTTAGAATTGTTTGTTTTGTTTCTTCTAATCTCTTCAGTTCTCTTAAAGCCATTAGTAAAAACAGTAATTCCTGTCTTCAAGGAAAGGTGAATTCTAAATGTGTTTACCTGGTGCCTGACTTTTAATATATAATATTTAGGCACTAGGAAAAGCTAATATATATTCACTGCTGTGTAACTGAGGGGAAGTTTAACTCTGCCTCAGTATCCTCAAAGTAGGATTATTTATTAATTATTTCATGGAAATGTATCCAGATTAACTGAGTTCATAGTCTGGTAATTGTACTCAGAAGTTAACTGATATTAAATGTGATACAATGAAGATTTGAAAAAAGATGCAAGAGCAGACATTACTGTCATTTAAATCTCAGTTATCATCTCTGGGGTTTTATTCAATTAAGAGTATTACCTGCAAATGCTTCTTATTTAGTCACTGTGTTTAGAGACACAGCTGTTCCTAACTTCTGGGTACAAGAATGACCAGGACTTACTTTGAGATTCAACTGAATGCTTGGTTCTGGCTTTATTCGGTAGAATCTAAATACTCTACCAGTAAATAAATCTAGTTCTAGCTTGATATACCTAGTTTTCACTTTTTGCAACTTCTACATGATACTTAGAAGACTGGCAACAAATACTTCTTTGTTTCCTACTGGCTTATCACTTAGCTTCAATTTTAAACTATAATTTTGATAAATGAAAATCCTGTTCATTTTAAAGTAACAATAATGGATGGTGGTAAGTTACTCATGTACTTCTGTATTGAAAGTCTGCAAATAAAAGGGCTGTGTGTTGTTTTCTAGTAAAAAAATGTGAAAATTGACAATTACAAAATTATGCAATAAATGAATACAGTGTAAAGGTTCAGTGCACTCTATATGTATTGCAACACAAGAGGTGAGTTCCAAGTGACTCACTTAAAGTTTATGGCTCTGGGGTTGATGGGGATATAGCTCAGAGGGAAAACATGCTTGGCGTGCCCGAGAACCTGGGTCCAATCCCCAGTACCAAAAGTAAAATTTAAAAATGTATGTCTTCAGTGCATTAGGTAGAGTTCCAGTGCCCTTTAGGAACTTGTGTTTTGATCTTACACATTCTATTTCATTAAAGTAGGAAGGCAATTTCAGGTAGTAGTTTCCGTATATGTCCCCTTATTCCTTACAGTTGTACTGACGTACATTGTTTTCCTTTTTAGACTATGTAAAGAAAGTAATACATTTTCTACTTTTCTGCCAAGATATCCCAAACATAAAGTAAATTTGTGTGTGTGTGTTGTTGTTGTGTTGTTTTCTAGTACCAGTGGTCGAACTCAGGACCTTGCAGTTGCAAAGCACCACTGAGTTAAATTCCCAGCCCAAGGATGTAATATATTTAACAAAAATGGGGATTTAAATTAGGACTGCTGAGCTAGGTAGGCATGGTGGTGCATGCCTATAATCCCAGCACTTAGAAGGCTGAGCAGGAGACTGCTGTGAGTTTGAGTCCAGCCTGGGCTACATAGTGATTTCAAGCGCAGCCTCAATTACGCAGCAAGAGCCTGTCTCAAAAACAAAAATAAATAAAGATTAAGTTTTCAGAAAGTCATTGAAAAGTGTAACACTTAAAAAGACATACTGTGTTAATGAGGGGAGGAGAGAGAGCAGACAATGATTAGCTACGTTAAGTTCCATCAGTTTACTGAAACCTAAGGTCCGTTTTCTTCCCCTTCGATTTTTAGTCCTTGGCTTCACTGCTGTTTTACCAAATAATTAGTTCATTAAAAATGAGGAAAACAGGAGAAATTTGAAAGCTTCAGTTTGGCTAAGATCTTGCTTTATATTTCTCTATCTATCTTATCTATTAGATCACAAGGTCCTGTTAGGCAGGAACCAAATTGCTACCTTGCCAGGTTTATAGTACTTAAATCATAAGCCTGCATAACACGCATAACAGGCAGCTTTAAAAATGTTAGTTGATTCCCGCCGCTCGTGCATGTGTGCGTACCTCACTGATAAAGCTTCGAAGTCCTGTAGCCCGGAGGGGGGTCAGTTCCCCACTACCTTCTGCCATCCTCTTTGAACAGAATGTCTGGCAGTTCTGTAACCTCCAGAATCTGTTTTCCGTCTCTCCTGTAGAGAGGGGAGCAGTCCCCTAGGATTGATACCAGGTAACCTGAGTTCTTAGCCGCAAGGTCCTACTTGGTCTGCTCCCCATCTCAGTCCCTCCCTCACGCCCTCAGTTTCACTTCCTACTGCCACCTCCCACCCAGTGCTGCTCTGGCCCCACTGGCCTCCTTCCTGTTGGAGGGGAGCTGAGCTCACTCCCACCCGAGGGCTTTTGCTTTTTCTGTTCTCTCTGCCCAAATATCTGCACAGCTTGCTTCCTGGTTTTACTCAAGTTCTTGCTAAGATTTTAACCCTATCAGAGAAGTCTTTCCTGACATCCCATTTAAAGTAAGATTCTCATTGAGTTTGGTGGTGCACCCCTGGAATCCCAGTAATTGGGAGACTGAGGCAGAAGGATCAAAGTAAGTTTGAGGCCAGCTTGGGCTTACATAATGAGTTCAAGGCCACCCTGTACTACCTAGCAAGAACCTATCTCAAAAAAGCAGGAAGGAGCGCCAGGGATTTAGCTCAGTGGTTCCAGCACCTGCCTTGCAAGCACAAGGACCTGAGTTCAATCCACTGTACCAAAAAAAAAAAAAAAAAAAAAGTGGGAAGGAGGACCCAGGATTTAACTTAGTGGCACCACACCTGCCTTGCAAGTGCAAGGTCCTGAGTTCAATCCCTGATACTGGGCAGAAAAAAAAGAAAAAAAAAGGGAGAGGGAGGCTTCTCTTCCTACCCAGCTTTAATTTTTCTTTTCAGCACTGTTTGAACACATGCATTGTTTGTATCTGCCCAGAAAGTCTCCAAAGTCCTTAAGAGCAGGAACTTTATTTTGTTCAGTATATTGCATCCTAGCACATGGAAACCATTCAGCATATAGTAGGTACAAAAAATTTTTCTGGTGGTTTTTTGAGACAGGATCTTACTCTGTAGTGCAAGCTGGCCTCAAATCCACAGCAGTTCTCCTCCCTCAACCTCCTGAGTGTTGGGATTGCAGGCATCGCCACCACACCTAGCAGTAGGTACTAGGTTTTCAACAATAAGTTTCCATTAATAACAATATTAATAAACTGCCTCATAATTTCTCCTTATTAACAACTTTGGAAATTGCCATTTTGCTTAAGGATTGCTCAGACTTTATGGCAAATGAACAAATATTGATTCTCCATGGTTGTCCCCTCTCCTAGGTTTCAGCATGGCCCAGAAGCCATTTGGAGCCACTTATGTGTGGAGCAGCATCATAAGCACTCTCCAGACACAAGTAGAGGTCAAACGGCGAAGGCACCATTTAAAGCGGCACAACGACTGCTTTGTGGGTTCCGAAGCTGTGGATGTCATTTATTCGCACCTAATTCAGAATAAGTACTTCGGGGATGTCGATATTCCTCGGGCCAAAGTGGTGAGGGTGTGTCAGGCACTTATGGACTACAAAGTATTCGAAGCGGTTCCAACCAGAGTCTTCGGCAAAGACAGAAAACCTGCTTTTGAAGATAGTAGTTGCAGCCTGTATAGATTCACAACAATCCCAAACCAAGACTGTCAAGTAGGCAAAGAGAACAAACTATATTCACCTTCTGGGTTAGTATAAAATAAGATTACTGAGGGGAGGTTGGTAGGATTGTATACTTTTTTTTTGCATCACTGACAGCTTTGTATCCTGTCTGTCTGTCTATCTATCTATCTATCTAAGCATGGTGTGTGTGTGTGTTCATAGGGGTAGTGAGGACTGAACTCGTGACCTTCACACTGAGCAACATCCCCAGCCTTTTCCTTTTTGGTGCCGGGAATCAAACTGAAGATCTTATGCTTGCCAGGAAGGCACAATGCCACTGAACTAAATCCTCTCTCCCCCTTCAGCCCTCTTAAAATGTTCTCTCTCTCTCTCTCTCTCTCTCTCTCTCTCTGCCTGCCCCCTCACTCTCTCTCTCCCTCCCTCCCTTTCCTTTGAGACAGTCTTCCCATTTAGTTCAGGCTGGCTTGAACTCACTAGCCTAGCCTAGCCTTGAACTAGAGATGATCCCCCTGCCTCAGCCTCCTGAGTGCTAGGATTACAAGTATATACTACCAAGCCCAGATCCCTTTTTGAAAAGTTTTAAATTTTGAGACAGAGACTTGCTAAGTTGTCCAGGCTAGGCTTGAACTTGTGATTCTCTTACCTCAACCTACCCCAGAGTGCTGTGATTACAAGTGAGTACTACTACACCGAGCTCAATATGTTACTTTTATAAACTATACATTTGGCTAAAATCTGGATCTAGGTAAAATATGATGAAATTTTGACTTTATCTGATTCTCATAGACTTATTTGTTCATATTTTATATTTAGTAGAAACAGTCAATAAACTGATTTTCATCCCTCGGGTGACACAGTATAAAAACTGTTAGCACATACCTGTAATTCCCATCCGCTTGGGATACAAGGCAGGAGGATTGTGAGTTTCAGGACAGCCTGGACAATTTAGCAAAACCAAAAAATTAGTAAATGTACAAAGTGATATGAAAACACAAGGTAAAGACAAGAAAGATAAGATTATAGGGTATCACCAGAGATGTGGAAGGTGTATGGAAATTAGAAGGCTGAGCTTCATGGGACATATGAACCGATTGGAGGTTTTATTGTTTTTGAGACAGGGTCTTGCTGTGTTGCCACGGCTTGTCTTGAGCTCCTGGGTGTAACTGATCCTCTCACTCCACCGCCATCCTGCTGGAACTTGGACTTGATCGTACAGGTTTTGGGGACACCACAGAAAGATAAGATTGTATCTTAGAATGGTCACCCAGGCTGGGGATGGGTAAAGCACTTGCCTCAGGTGAGCAAGACCCTGGGTTCAGTCCAGCAGTGAGCCACAAAAAGAAAGGCAAGGCCAGCTTGGCAGGTCTGTGGCCTGCACAGGGGCTGGTTACAGTGTCTCAGGTACAGAAGATAAGAGCTGCACTGAACAGCATGGGGAGGAGAGAGGATCATTTAAAGGGAGAGCAGGGGACAGAATTGTGGAAGCTCGTCATTGGAGCAATGGCTGATGGCACATGATGAACTTAGTTGTCTATCAGGGAATGGAAACAGCTTTACCTTTTCCCTTGTATTCTCAGCTGGACTGTAGAGGTGATGCTGTAATGTGGTTTTTGGGTTGTTCTATTTTTTCCCCTAGTAGTGGGAATTGAACTCTGTACCTTGCACTTGCCAGGCAGGCACACGCCACTGAGCTACATCCCTGGCCCAGTGATGCTGTAATTTGAAACTGTTGTGATTCAGATCTGACCAACAGTCAGAGTTTTAGTATATTGACTTTTCAAATAGTTTTGTGTGTATTTAAAACATGATAAAATTTATCTCTATATTCATGAAATTTGAAACATGAAGATAAGCTAAAGTGTGCCTCTGTCTTCAGGAAAGAAACATGAGGAAACGTGAAGGCCACACTTTTAAGGTACAGGAGTTCTCAACCCTGGGAACCAGAAGCATTTAGAAATTTGTAGATTTAGAAGGGTAACTTGTACATATAAATACTATAACTTCCCTAGAAGGGTCTGGGCAGCATCTAGTAACCAAGCATATTAACTTTCTGTGGTGAACAAAGTAATATTCATATTATTATTATTTTTTTGATACCAGGGATTGAACTCGGGACCTTGCACTTGTGAGACAGGTGGCAGAACCACTGAGCCAAATCCCTGACCCCAGGAATATTCATATTAATGGGAATAAATAACCATGATAATCTTAAGACAAGTTTCATCATCATAAGACTTCTGAATAAACTTTTGCTTTTTAAAACTTTTGGGGCTGGGGATTTAGCTCAGTGGTTCCACTGCCTGCCTTAGAAGTGAAAGGTCCTGAGTTCAATCCTCAGTACCGAAAGAAAAAAACAAAAACACAAACTTTTGCTTTCAGAACTATAGTGAAAGGAGTGTAGATGTGTATTTGGGAAATGATGTGCACCTTCCACCAAGGAATACTCAGAAATAAAGAGAAATTTATACAAACAGTAAGCATAATATTCAGTTGTTTTATTATGTTTAATCCCAGTACTTGGGAGGCTGAGCAAAAGGATTGCCACAAGTCTGAGGCCAGCCTGGGCTACAAAGTGAGTTCAAGGCCAGGCTGAACTACAGAGCAAGACCCTGTCTCAAAAAAACAAATAAATAAAACTGGGGACTCAAATTTTCACCATTGCATTACATCTAAATAAGTGTCAGGGGAGAATTTAGAGTGTATTTTAGGTTTGAGAAAGAAGGTAAGTTTTTCTATTTTATTCCACTCTTAAAATTTGTAGTTGTGGTTTTGTTCTGAAATACAAGAACTCTCAAAAACTATTAGTTGTTGGGCCAGGGATTTAGCTCTGGCACTGTGCCTGCCTTGCAAGCGCAAGGTCCTGAGTTCAATCTCTGGTACCAAAACAAAAAACAAAAAAAACTGTTAGCTGTCAAATACTAAACTATTTCTGGGCCCATTAAATTCATTTCAGGTACACAGGTGCACTATTTCCGTCATCTGATATCAAATCAGACAGTTTAGAAGATCTGTGGAAAAATTTGAGCTTAAAGCCTGCTAATTCCCCGCGTGTAAATCTCTCTGCATCCCTGTCTCCACAAGGTAAGCTAAAGATGATGTGGAAAGTAAGAAATAGAAGACTAATGTCAAATAAAGTGAATCTTAACCTTTATTAAAATTTAAATATCCGCATTGCAAAGAAAGAGCGCACTATGTGTTACAGCTGTTTATATTAAGTTATAACAGAAGTCTATTATCTTTAACAAATACATCAGTGTTACAGCTCTTGAACACTGACTTTTGTCCTATCAGATGGCAGAGGTTCAAATCTGAAATGTTTTGCATGCAGATTTTTTCTTAAAATATTCTCTCAGATGTTTCTTTCCCTAAGATTTTATTAGGTTCAATAAAAACTTCAAAATGACATTTAAAACATTAACAGAATTCTCATGTTCTCCCTTGTGGCAATGGAATGCAGCTTAATGACTTTGATTTCCACTCTCCTTCCCTCATCCTGGTTGTGGAAACCCCGAGTGGAATCATCTGTAGCTAATAGTTTCAAACCAGTTTTGAGATTGAATGAATCATTCTTTCTTCCAAAGTCCTTATTAACATGTTATATGACTTGATCTCTTATCTTGGACAGATTGCTTTATATAGTACAAAGAATGAAAAGAATTCCTGTTGTCCAGAGTCTATTCTCCTACACTTTAAACAAATCTAGGATTGTTTTGTCAGAAGCAAGCACATCATACGGTTGACTGCTTCCCTTCTCCTCCCTTCCTGTTCCCTTCGTTTTTCCTTTCCTTTTCCTTTTGTTCCCTGTTTCCCTTCCTTCCTTCCTTCCTTTCCTTCTTTTTTTGCCATCAGTTTATTAGTTTAGATCTGCCTAGACAAATATTGTGGTGAGCATATATAGTAACCATGAATTGTTACTTTGACTTTGTCATTTTTCCTGTGTAGTTATTAATGAAGTATGGCAAGAAGAAACAATTGGGCGCCTGCTACAGCTTGTAGACCTTCCACTTCTTGACTCCTTACTCAAACAGAAAGAGGTTGTATCTAAAGTTCCTCAACCAAAGAGGCAGCCTGACATGATCAACAGCAGTAACTATCTGGATCGAGGGATTCTCAGGGCCTACAGTGACTCTCAGTATGTGCAACTACATATAATAATTTCAGTGTGTGTAGGTAGATAATAGATGATGATTTTAAGATAATCTTTGGAATCCTGTCTGTAGGATCAGATATGCATTTTCAGTTGATGTTCATCAGTAGTTAAGTGAAGAAAATTATGTTAGTCCAAATTAGAAAAAGATTTAAATTTCATTATTTTTCATATTCACTTGTGTTTCATATATAACTTTCTTGGACATCAAGTGAAGAAAATGCTATGTTCTCTCTCTTTTTTTGTTGGTGCAGGGGATTGAACCCACTGAATTATATCCCAGTTTTTTTATTTTATCTTGCAGCCAGAGACCACTAAATTCTCACTAAGCTGCTAAAGTGCCTGGGTTAGGCTGGAACGTGTGATTCTCCTGCCTCACCCTCCCAGTGTTGGGATTACAGGCATGCACTGCCATGCTCATTTTGATTAGGCTGTATCTTCTTTGTTAAAATATAGGCTGAATAGTTTCTCAAGATTCCTTAAAGCGATTTGCAACAAAAGGAACAGATCTGACAAATTCTTGGAGTCCTTTGATGATACAGACTTTTATTCTCTTCTAAAGTGCCTGTGTATAGTGTAGTCCCAGCATGTGGGAGTCTGAAAGAGAGGAGGATCACAAGTTCAAGAGCAGCCTGAGCTATATAGTGAGTGCAAGGCCAGTCTGAGCTATATAATAAGACCCTGTCTCAAAAAAAGCCTGTTTTTAAAATTTATTTATTTATTGTACTGGTGCTTGAACCCAAAGCCTCACACATTCAAGGCAATTGTTCCATCACTGAGCTGCATCCCAGCCCTTTTAATTTTATTGTGAGATAGGATCTCACTAAGTTTTCCAGGATGGCCTCCAACTTGGAATCCTCCTGTCTCAGCCTCCTGAGTAACTGGGAGTATAGGCGTGCACCACCATGCCTAGCTGTAAATGTGTATTTTCTAATTAGTTTTATTAAGGAAATGTAATGAAAGTAACTCTCACTTTTCAACTATCATTCTGAATATAAATCTTAAGGTTTGAAGGCATAAAAATTACAATTTTTTTTCTTCCTTAAGGAAGAGTTCCATATAGAGTTCTTTAAGGAAGAGTCCTCAAAGCTTTGAAAACTCTTCTCCTAAGTAAAATCAAAGGTTAAGCAGATAGTGTTCCAGTTCAGTTAAGGAGATAGAAATGTTTGAAAAGAATGCAACTTACATTTTTGTACTTGCTAATTCCACACACCAGTTATTGTCAAAAGTAACAAGATATATTAACAAATCGAATATTAAGTGCTAGGCATTTTATTTTGTGAAATGTAACATTTTCTGAAGTTAGCATTCATTTCACTAGACATGTAGTTTATTTATTTATTTGTTTGTTTGTTTATTTTTAAATTTTGGTGGGGAGGTGGAACGGGGAAGGAACTGGGGACCTTGTGCTTGCAAGGCAGGTGGCAGAACCACTGAGCTAAATCCCCGGCCCAATTTAATTATTTTGAAAGTTTATTTTCTTCTGTTCTGGCCTAACCAAAGTGAGAGATCATAGGCAGTCACACAGCCCTGCTGTAATCTACGTTTTATCGAGGAAGCACTGCTTTAGGAGTGAGATCTGAGATCTAGTCCTGATGGGGCCTGAGCAAGTAGCCTGGAATTTCTGAGTCTCCACTGTAAATGAAAAAAGTAGAGTTTGAAGTCTGGTGTTCTTCTCTGTATTGCAGTTTCTATTTTTGCAAAAGAGGAAAAAAAGGAAAACTTATTAAGCTAATTTTTAAAAATTTCCTAAAACACAACTTCGCTACATATTTAAAAATTAACAGTATGTTCAAGCATGCAGAAATTGATCCTGGTAGCAGGCTTGAAGTAGCTTAGCAAAGTAGGTTCTCTGTGTGTATTTGTGATCCCTTGCTTTTAAGAAGACTCTTCCCCGCTCCCCCGCCCCCAGAGATGACGAGTGGCTCTCTGCAGCGATCGACTGCCTGGAGTACCTTCCAGACCCTACAGTGGTGGCCATAAGCAGAAGCTTTCCCGAGCAGCCGGACAGAACAGACCTGGTGAAGGAGCTTCTGTTTGATGCCATTGGCAAGTACTACAGTAGTCGGGAGCCTCTACTGAATCACTTGTCCGATGTTCACAATGGAATCGCAGAACTCCTGGGTAAGGAAGATCTTCCTGGATACTAGATTGTGTCTTTTGGAGAGAACAGAAAAAAGTTTATTGTCTTATGAGAGGCAGAGGCAGGAGGATCACAAGTTCAAGGCTCGCCTGGGCAATTTAAAGAGACTGTATCTCACTCAGTAAAACATAGGGCTGGAGATGTAGGTCAGTGCCAGGCCCAGGGTTTAATGCCCCATATTAAGGGCAGGGAGTTAATTGTCCTCAAAATGAACTAAAATAGTACTACTTCAAGCTGGGAGTGGATGTGGATAAGTCCATGAAAAGTATGTTTGTTCCAAAACGTCCAGGGTTCATTCGGAAAGAGGCTTCAACAAGCTCTGAAGCTCTGCAGGAACTTGTGGCTGCCGCGGAGAATGCTGCTGCCACGTACCTGAAGCTTAGCTGCAGAGCAGCAGTTCTCTTCTTTAGGAGAACTCCCAGAACCACCACTCTTCCTCTAGTCTTTTAAAAATAGGGAACCCTCTGCTTTGTCCTTCTACCCATGAGCCAGACTTGCACATGCTGTGTTGAAAACAAATTGCAGGTTTCAGAAGATCCCTTTTATTTTTTTCAGGTAGAGTCATATATATCAGTGTCATACACGCTGTATCCCCTCAGAATGTATTGAATTAATGAAAAACATAGACCAAGAATTCATTTACAAAGCCAAGAGTTTGACTCACTGCCCTAAGACATTATATGACAAGGATTTACAGTATTAGCTGCCAGTTTTAGAACAGACTGCCTTTATGGTGTTGGTCATTCATTTTGATTCTCAGTCTTGTTTTGGGTTTTGGAAATAATTTTGAATAAGTATACTCCTTAGCTTAAGCTGTAATTTGAGTTTTGTTTCCTTTAATATAGTCATATTTGGTCAATTAAAAGCAGGTATTTTTTCTTTTGGCTAAAGTAAATGGGAAGACTGAAATAGCGTTAGAAGCTACTCAGCTCTTTCTGAAGCTTTTGGATTCCCAAAACAGAGAAGAATTTAGACGACTACTGTATTTCATGGCTGTTGCAGCACATCATTCAGAATTTAAATTACAGAAAGAAGTAAGTCTTGGGCAAGGCATGGTGTGCATGCCTATAATTCCAGCACTCTGAAGGCTGAGGTAGGAGGATTGCCACAAGATTGAGGCCAGCTTGGGCTACATAGTAACTGTCTCTAAAAAAAAAAAAAAAAAAAAAAAAAAAAAAGTCAAAATGTATTGTATTCA